AATGAGCTTATCCTGTTTAATCCTGCATTAATCTGCGTAGTAAGGCTGAATTTTATGTTGTTTTGCAAAATGTATTTATGCTAACTTTCAAAGCCGAGTTGTTTCGAAGCCTGCAGGCCTAAGAACTTCTTTCATGTGTTTCATCAGCAAATGATATTCCAAGTGACAGAAAACCTACTATAGGAACAGTATGTTGGACATTGTCTGAAGTACATTTGATATACACGACGTTTCGGGAATTGGGTATAATCCCGTCTTCGTATAAATGGTTGTAACGCTGACAATTTCTCATTAATAAAAACGATCGGTATCGAGCCCAGGACCTTTCTATTTTAGGTTAGTATGCTAACCATTAGGCCACACAGGTTGTATCACGACAAACTATCACCTGATGGCTAAAGTAGAGCCAACTTCCGAAACGTCGTGCGTGTATCCTAAATTTGGAATGGACTTCAAGACTTTCTTTGTTGTCCTTTACATAATTTCGGTTACAACCGTTTCACCAAGAGGTGATGTATCTTTGGTGAGGAATTTCGGTGGACTGGTGCCAGTGTGTGGTGCGGTGTTATTACTGTGGCAGCAGTAAACTTGGAGCAGCTTCATGCATTCCAACCACAGCAATAAATTATTTGTTCGGCCGTCCAGCACGACCCACGCGACGTAAGGACCTTGATGCTGGACCTTACAACCGTTGGATGACGATTGGATCGGCTTTGGACCAGCCCTGATTTCACTTAACTCTTGAGTGAGAGACAATATACGAAATACTAACTGCAGTGACGTCATTCAGAATATTGAAGAACGTTGCTTAAATTGAACGTTGGAGAAAAGCACAAAAAAGGGCAGAGTAATATCTTCTTCCCTCAGTTGATTATGTTGAAATCTGTTTCGACATTTTTGCTACCTTTTGAATTGCGTCGATACATCTAATAACGTCCCATTCTTTTAAAACAGGCCTATCTATCCTTTCTTATTGTGCGAGAAACTTCGGAAATTTTGGTCTGTATGCAGGCAACATGAAGTTCAACACATAAAATGTGGACTGTACACGTATAATGATATATATTCTTTTATCTGCATGTTTTTATATACATTATATGCAATAAAAATATACTGATGATAATGTGAAAAATTTGTTAAAAAAATGCAAATCACAACCTAGGCTAGGGTGTGTTTATTTTCAGCACATTTTCACAAAACGAATAAGTAATGTAATGTATGTCTCCATAAAAAAAAGCTTATTATCTTTTTAAAATATTATTGCATAGATTTTAACTTGAGTGCGATCTTTTGCACAATAAGACCGACTGTAAGTCTGGCAATGAAAGTATCAGAAAGGAGCCGCTGCTGGTACCCGCACATCTGCAAGTCGTCAACTAGAAAACATCAACGAGGTATAATACACGTCGGAAATCGTTGACAAAGTTATTATAATCCCGGCAAAGAACAATCGCTAACAATAAGGATTTATGATAGGGTCATTTGGGATTATGGAATTGGTGGTAACTTTTCTTTCATAGTTTGCCAGGAAACGGGTGGGATTTCTTCTGCGTTTTATCGCGCCGTTGCCAGAGATAGGGTTAAAATACGTTTTCGTATTTCAAATGTCTCCTCGTGAATATAACACCGTGTCGCGGGCAACATGTTGCCAGCGAGCTACAGGTTGGGCGGGCCTGTTTTACACTGAAGTACATGTTTGTTCTGATAGACGCTTGCCGACATGTCACAGGTGCTTGCTACCTCCAACGTCAACCCTCTGAAAGTTCGGCAAACTCGTACCAGACTACAAGTCGCAACGACACAGAAGACGTCATAAAAGTGTAAAGCAGACGCCGACGGGCCAGTCCACGACGTTTCCAAAACGCAAGGGAGCGCTGCTGAAACGCGCGATACCGGCATTGGAAGTGTGCAATAAATTATTGAGGATGCAACGTCGCAATTTGTATTTCTGTCTGCCTGCGGGTCACCCGCCTTCTTTCGTGTTTGACACAGCCATGTCATCTCGTGTCGTTCCAGCGTAAACGTCCGTTCTGAATCGCGGCTTCGCACGACGCGGGATATTTTACCCACTTGTGAACCCGTCACTCGCTAGGTTCTTTGGGTTGTTCCATCATTTGGGTGGTAGAATTATTACCGGACTGTTCTGCACGTTCATCTCTTCGTCCCACAGAACTTGTTTCTATATACGGAATTGCTGCCAGGGTATAAGATGTACAGTTACGAATTAATGCAGAAAATGAACCAGATATCGAGATGTCACCAAAAAGTACTTTCTCTCTTTCTTTTGGACTTCATCCATGGCGCATTCTGGAGACAGCTTAAGGTTGGGTTAGCTGATTGCATACTCCAAGCGACTCTTATGGGCAAATTTATTGTATGTAAGAGGATTTCTGTCTTCTGGGTTGTTGCGCTGTGTAGACTGGTCGATGTTTACCAACGTTTCAGAGGTCATACTGCCTCCGTCATCAGGGCGATTCAACGGCCTGGTAAACATCTACCATACTACAACAACCCAGAAGACTGAAATCTTCATACTCATCGCCCTGATGATAAAGGCAGTATGACCTCTAAAACGTTGGTAAACATCGACCAGACTACACAGCGCAACAACGCAGAAGACAGAAATCTTCATCGCCCTTATGACGGAGGCAGTATGACCTCTGAAACGATGGTAAACATCGACCAGTCTACACAGCGCAACAACCCAGAAGACAGAAATCTTCATACTCATCGCCCTCATGATGGAGGCAGTATGACCTCTGAAACGTTGGCTAACATCGACCAGACTACACAGCGTAACAACCCAGAAGACAGAAATCTTCATACTCATCGCCCTCATGATGGAGGCAGTATGACCTCTGAAACGTTGGCTAACATCGACCAGACTACACAGCGTAACAACCCAGAAGACAGAAATCTTCATACTCATCGCCCTCATGATGGAGGCAGTATGACCTCTGAAACGTTGGCTAACATCGACCAGACTACACAGCGTAACAACCCAGAAGACAGAAATCTTCATACTCATCGCCCTCATGATGGAGGCAGTATGACCTCTGAAACGTTGGCTAACATCGACCAGACTACACAGCGTAACAACCCAGAAGACAGAAATCTTCATACTCATCGCCCTCATGATGGAGGCAGTATGACCTCTGAAACGTTGGCTAACATCGACCAGACTACACAGCGTAACAACCCAGAAGACAGAAATCTTCATACTCATCGCCCTCATGATGGAGGCAGTATGACCTCTGAAACGTTGGCTAACATCGACCAGACTACACAGCGTAACAACCCAGAAGACAGAAATCTTCATACTCATCGCCCTCATGATGGAGGCAGTATGACCTCTGAAACGTTGGCTAACATCGACCAGACTACACAGCGTAACAACCCAGAAGACAGAAATCTTCATACTCATCGCCCTCATGATGGAGGCAGTATGACCTCTGAAACGTTGGCTAACATCGACCAGACTACACAGCGTAACAACCCAGAAGACAGAAATCTTCATACTCATCGCCCTCATGATGGAGGCAGTATGACCTCTGAAACGTTGGCTAACATCGACCAGACTACACAGCGTAACAACCCAGAAGACAGAAATCTTCATACTCATCGCCCTCATGATGGAGGCAGTATGACCTCTGAAACGTTGGCTAACATCGACCAGACTACACAGCGTAACAACCCAGAAGACAGAAATCTTCATACTCATCGCCCTCATGATGGAGGCAGTATGACCTCTGAAACGTTGGCTAACATCGACCAGACTACACAGCGTAACAACCCAGAAGACAGAAATCTTCATACTCATCGCCCTCATGATGGAGGCAGTATGACCTCTGAAACGTTGGCTAACATCGACCAGACTACACAGCGTAACAACCCAGAAGACAGAAATCTTCATACTCATCGCTGTGAAAACCTCAAATCTTACTTATTGTATGTAACTTTGGGTTCTTTCTGAATGGACTTCTTCTCACTTTCATAATACAAACTCCAAAATTCCTTTACTAGAAAATTTTCTGAAATGCAGTTAATAACTTCGATGGCACAGTCGGCGTACAGATTCCGTCTAGGTCAGAACCTAGAATAATTACCAGTATTCTAGAGTGCACAATATTTCATCTGAGCTGTCTTCTCATATTTCTTGCTTTTAGGCACAAAGTACAAGTTGAGTATGTGCCCTCGATGTCTGTTCGCATGTATCTTGCTTAAAAATCTCCGGATTGCGGCTTAATTTGTGGCTTTCGCATTGATGTACCCCAGCCAATAATTCGAACATCGCGAAAATCTAACCTAAAAAAGTACATTCTGTGACGAGCACACAAACATGCGTAATGCAGTTTAATGAATGTCGCTCTGACCTTGTATAAAGTTTACTGGTGTTCTACTTGAGACACAGACATGTGTTCCACCTAATTAGGCCCTTATGTGTTACGTTCAAGTGATTTTTTGACATACAATTTATTTTTATTTTCCTATTTCTGTAACGAATTATTTTTTCACTCTTTATACGATACGGCTGAGAATTTGTCTTAAAACCCTGTTTTTAGGAATGGATTTGAAGCCACACAGTTCACCAAGAATTTGTACCTTTCAGCAGCTTTTGCAATTAAGAACAGTAGGCCTGCCACAGAATGTCTAGAACTGAGCAACATCACTTAACGAGGAACTAAAGTATTTTACTTAGACCACCAGGTAATGAAACGAATAATGTCGACATGCTTGGTTATGCAAGATTGATACGGATAAAAATAAAAATATGCACGAATTTTTGGAAGGAAGCGTAAAAGTCATGAAACTGATGTTAAAGAAAATGTTTGTAGTGTTGCCACCTTTATGAGGCAGGTAGAGAGTTCGTCAGTGGCACGATAACCACCACAATGAAACGGTAGTTACAGGGATTGAACATGCAACTGTGGCTTTAGCATATCGTGATTTCTGCCGTCAACTAACTTGCTGATTTCTTCCTTTGTTCTGGATGACTACAGCCGTCCAACGAGGGCGGGTACCTCCGTCGCAGCCTCCGGGTCTTCCGGGTCAATTTGCTCTTACCAACGGTGACGCAGCTTCAGCAGCAGCGGCC